TCCTAGTTTTTATTTTTGCCCACGTGTCCTATTATTACTTTGGTTATTTTTCATATTTAAAGCAAATTAGTTGTCCTCAATTAACTACTAAGTATCTCAACATCAGTTTTCATGAAATAACACGTAATTATAACTTCCATCGTGCTATATTTTGTAAAATATTGTTTTGTTCTTGCTCCTTCAGTTATTTTAGCCCCCCAGTGATACAGCGGTACGTCTGCGGACTTACAACGCTAGAGTCCGGGTTTCTCAGTTGACAATGATCCCGAAGAACAATAAATTACAGAAAATCTGGATCGTTGTTTTTCAAGTCCAGACCTTGTATATTTTTAACGTATTATTGCTAGAATTATGAAGACTCCAATTAACTTTCCTCGTTTCATAAGAACAAAAAATGTTTATACAGTAATAAGAAAGAATATCGCTGTACACGTTTTGGTATCACACCAGTTGTGTAATCTCTTCTGTATCAGTCGAAAGTGTGTGAAGTTTTATCTTGAAACATAAACGATATATGTATATATTTTTAAAATGATGATTTGCCCATGGAAAAATCAAACCTTTTGTGTATTATAAATCAAGCAAATGATTTCACCGTGTCACATTTAAAGACAGGTTTTATTCATCGTAGTAACAGGTGTTAAATGTTTTTTTGTTTCAAGTATGTCTTATTATACTGTAAATAAAAATATTTTTACTTTACATGTGACATCATTTTATAGTGTTAATATTGTATGCTCCGGAATAAAAGTACATTCCAATTCATTTATAATGAATACATACAATCATATATCAGACTTGTATCTGTGAAGATGTATGCTTGTTTTTACAAAATAGATAGTAGTATATCTTAAACTGTTATCAATTATTTCACCATCTCTCTTTAAACTGTGCTACTAGTTACAATTGGCATTTCAATATTTTCTATCGGCTTTGGCCGAACTGATGAGAATCCTGGTATAGGTAAGTCTAACAATAGGTATGTTCACAGTGCTCAGGCCTAACGTCACAGTATTTTGGTATGTGTTAGGCTTAACAATATGTTTTATTTTATTACTTGGCCTAAGGTCAAGTTACTGTGGTAAGTGTTAGGTTTAACAAGCTGTTTTATTATATTGCTTACGCCTAAGTTTAAATTGCTACGGTTAAGTTTTAGGTCTAACAAAACATTTTATCATATTTGTTAGACCTAAAGTCATGTTACTGTGGTATTAGGTTTGACAATGTATTTTTTTTTATATTTCTCGCCTAAGTTTATGTTACTGTGGTAAGTATTAGGTATGACATTGTTTAGGCTTAATGCCACATTACTATAGTGAGTGTTCAAAGCACAATTCATAACCCACGAGAACAACAGATGATAGATTATGCGATTTTAGAACCATTATAACTGTGAACAATTAACTTGATGTATTTTACATTATCAATATTTTTTCATCATCGACTGTATTCTATTTTGTATATATATTTGCTCCTGAAATATTGAGAATTTGACAGATTAACTGTCTGGTTTACGGCACTAATCTGCATGACACTGGTTGCTATATTTTAACTAATTAAATATGAAAATCTCTAAACAATTCTCGACTTACGAACCTTAATAGAGAACTTTCTTTGGGCCTAAGTGCTGTTAACCACTGTATTTAAACTAGTATATTCTTTATATGCGTATATGTTTGGAAGCATAATTTTAACACAAACCACGATAATAATTGTGTAAAGCTGTAGCACACACAAAAAAATATTTTGAGTGATATCGTTGTCCTTGTTAACAAAATGTATGTTACTCAAAATAAATAGTTTTAATAATATTTTCAGTGTTTTATTCTTGTTTCTTTCTATATTTATTCATTTAAGGAGATATAAAACAGTTGAACACTTTGAAATTGTTATTACCTGATCTTTGAGTTCCTTCAACAACATCCAATTGTGAACTGGTAAACGAACTTTTCCACATTAACTCCACACACTGGAAACATTCTTGTCATGTCGCTTCAAGAAACAATTGGCCAGGTGGTTAGGGCACTCGACTCGCAATCTGTGGGTCGCGGGTTCGAATCCCCGTCCCACCAAACATGCTCGCCCCTTTTAGCCGTGGGGACGTTATAATGTGACGGTCAATCCCACTATTAGTTGGTAAAAGAGTAGCCCATGAGTTAGCGGTGGGTGGTGATGACTAGCTGCCTTCCCTCTAGTCATACACTGCTAAATTAGGGACGGCTAGCGCAGATAGCCCTCGTGTAGCTTTGCGCGAAAGTCAAAACGAACAAACAATCAAGAAACAATTACATAATCCTCAAGTAAGCTTTGTAACAGTAACGGGGGAACATCTGGGGCCCAGCCTTCGAAACTTTACGGAAGCTAGCGATGCTCGGAAATAAGAAAGTGGGGTGAATTTACCGACTCATTAGATTTTTGCTGAGTTAGATAATAAACAGTTTTAATATTCTCACCACCAACAGTGAACTAAAACAAAAATGACATTATTTTTATATCGGCCTCTTGGGAAGTACCTGCAGGCGGGAGAGGTAGGTCTGCCACCCTATTTTTGTGATGTAAAACAAATTATGTTTATATACTTATAGCACAGCTGCTTATGGCGTTTAACGTTTTCTACATAGTCCGCATTCTTATGATGAAGCATTAGTATATTTTTTGGTTTGAAATAGTTGTATGCAATGGTTTCTGTTGACACTTTGTAATTGGAAGTCCGAGGCCGTATTGCTACTGTCAGGTTTTGTAGGCCGGATTCTTTACAGTAGGTGTCTGTGATATACTGGCGATAAATTTGAACAATAAACAAACAGCAACACAGTCAAATTGTCGTAAAATAATATATCATAGCCAATGATTGAAATAGCTAATATAGTATTGTTTTACAGAGTTGTTTAAATCATTAATATAATTTAATAGTTAATAACTACTCAGCTTGTAGATAGTACAGTACTTTACTATAATAAAACATACTTATGCTAATTTAAGTCTCGGTCCCCATGAAGTGTGAGAACAGAATGATGATTGGTTGACTTTTCATTGGATGATTGTGGATTTTATGCGAACAACCATGGAATTGTTTAAGCTATATTTCATTCAAAATTGCTTCAGTTTTAATCTTATTTTTTCAAAAATATGTATATCTTACTGTAAATCAGTCATCATTTTGTCTACGCTGTTACTGGTGCCCACACTCAGCATAACTTAGAATCTACTGAAACAAACGTCCGTGTGGAACCAATCACAATATCTGTGGAAATTCATTTGGAGTCATAGAAACGTAATGAAGAGGTGTTTACGAACATTATGTACGTTATCATTTCTACAAAGATATGTATGTTTTTGAAACTGAAAAGCTCCTGTATATTAATTAACAAATAAAAAGAAGTCTTCAAATATGAATTTCATACGAACTGAAGCTGTACGTCCACAAGTTTCTATGGACATCTCACACAAAGACTTGTCAACTTCGAACAAATATTTATATGTCCACAAGTTTCTATGGACATCTCACACCAAGACTTGTCAACTTCGAACAAATATTTACGTAGTGAAATGAGAATTAAATGTTAGACTTCTACCAAAATATTAAAATCAGACTCAAACTTTCGAAGATATGTTACCGATTTCCTTAATTCCATCCCCCTGGTGGCTTTAATGGAAACTTTTATGTTTAACACTGGACTTGGATTG